AAATACGTAATTTCTTTATAACTTTTGTGGCTTTCTACACCTTTCAGGAAAATTATGGACCGCGCCCGAACTTCTGCGCATGCCCAACCAGTTCAATGAAGGAACACAGAAAGGTGATGTCTACGCATTTGCTATCATAGCACATGAGATTGTGGCTCGAGAAGGCCCCTTTTATCTTGGCATTCCAGACGTCTCTCCGAAAGGTACGACTCTGCATTCTTCTATTAGATTAATTATGGACGTGAGTTATATAGAACATTACAAATAGTCCCACCAAGCTTAATATTATACACTGGTTCTCAAATAAAATCGTGTATTTAAATATCAAAATGCAAGTAAACTTGTTTAATGGTGTTTTATAGTGAATTCTGATAAACAAAATAACCAAGTAAAACACTCACATATGAGTTCATGAAGTGGGAACCCATTGATAGAAACACGTGGTGCGTTTCCATCGAAGCACCATTGTGCGCGTGTTTTGTGTCTGAGATACAAGACTGGTAAGGAGAAAAGCTGTTTGCTTAGAAGGATTATGGCCACGTCCGGGAATCCGGATGACAAATGGACAACGGTGCAGTGTTCCTTGGAATGTAGTTATTGTCAGAGTAAGTTGGATCTCTTATTGACAGTGTTTTGTATAAAATGCCGTAAGTTGTTTTTCTGTAGAATGGGATGAAAGTTAGATTAGATAAATACTAAAGTGCATACATTTTTAAATACCTTTGTGCAGTAATCGTAATCTAATGTTTATTTTTTCTATGGATAATAATGAAAGCTGTATCATTAATTCGAAGCTATTTTGAGAAAATTTCTTCAAAAATCCTTATCTTTATGAAAAGAAAGCGATAAAAATGGAATTTATGTAAAGTAGTTCCGTAGAAACTGCTAATCCTAGTGGCAGGAGTCATTTATTTCCAGGTGTTAACAATCAAGTTATGATACATGTTAGATATCATTTCTCAACACTTTTCTTTCTACATGAAATTCATAAATAAAAACTTGTAAACAGTTCAGGCTTTCTGAAATTCCATAATCTTAGATATAAATAAAATATCATTAGCAACTGACAGACAAAGGTCAAAAATTTATTTTTCTTGTTTTTTTTTAAACTATCTTATTTGACAAAAACAAATTAAGAAGTAGGAATAGTAACGGTAATACTGAGTTTGCTATTATATTTTCTCTACCACCACTGAAGTTACTCATCTTCAACTAAAGACTTAAATTATACACTTCCAGTGACTTGTGTTCAATCCTATTTTGTTTGCAATCCCAGATTTCGGATTCTTCAACTTTCCAATAGCTTTCCCATCGTTGAAGTTATTGACGCACGTTTTAGTGTATTTCACAGTGGTATGATGATGATAGAAAGAAGGGATCTTATGGCTTTTTCAAATGTTCTTCTGTTGCTTCAACTTCATTCTTGATTTTGATCAGAGCATCCATAACCATGGGACCACATAAATTAAAATCCACTTGGTAAGTTCTTAGTTTTTGTATCTGCCCAAACGTGTCTGAGTCCCATCTATAAATAGCGAAAGTCTTCAGCTGAGGATCTGCCTTTAAGCTGCACCTTCTGCTGCTGTTCGTTTAGCAGAATGAACAATTAATCCATGGGGAAGGAACTGGAGTTAGTTTGAAATATGCTTAAACGAAATCAAGAAGATCATTTTTAACACAGTTATGGTTCCTTTTTAAACCAAATAACACCGGTACTAGTGTTTACTACTAAATTTTAAAACAAATTGATATTTCTTCCAATATGCAATAATGTATAATACTACTACTAGCATTTTCCCAAAGCATTGTTGCTTAGTATTAATAGAACTTTTTCTATAATGTTTCTGTATAACAATACTACTAAATCTTGTATCCATAGCTTGGTTGTACGCTATTACCAGCACTTATACCACAGCGAACTGTGTAATGTTATTAGCAGTCACAGTCTCTATCTAATAAATATCTTCAAAGCAATATTAGCAGTATTATACGTCGAATGTCAGAATGGTATGACTTCATCAGTTTTAGTCTTTGATACAATATTCTTCTGTAATAATTATTCCTAATTTTATATCCCATGTGTTAGATAACTTTAAATTTTTGTTTCATTAGGTTTTTGTAGGCCAGAATCACTATTATATGGCTTAGTTATTGAGCTTTATTAAGTATAAGTAGCCATACTTATATTTTATGACAATCATTATTGGAAGTTCTAACACTATTAACTCCATCGCATTCTTATCAGTAACAAACTGAACTCTATGATAACCATATGAAACCGCTGATCTAGTCCTTTTACAAAGATCAAACGAAACTATTATTTCTTCTGGAGAAACTAATGAAGGACTAATTTAGTTAGCATTAAATCTTTGTGATGTTTAAGAATGTTTTAATATTTTCCATGATACAATTTTGTGGTCCATATATCTAATAAAGCAATAATGGTGTAAAAAACATTCTTTGACAGATGTATTGTGACACGGTTGTTTTAACAGTGCTAGTAGTATTATTACACAGTCAGAAGTGCTAGTAATAATTCCAGAATCATACTCAGTCACAAGTGCTAGAAGAATTATCATACAGTTATGTTCTGGCACAAGTCTGCTAGTAATAATTACAGCATCATACTCAGTCACAAGTGCTTGAAGAATTATCATACAGTTATATTGTGACACAAGTCTGCTAGTAATAATTACAGCATCATACTCAGTTACAAGTGCTTGAATAATTATTATACAGTTATATTGTGGCACAAGTCTGCTAGTAATAATTACAGCATCATACTCAGTCACAAGTGCTAGAACAGTTATCATACAGTTATATTGATCCAACTGTCTTAGTAACCTTAAGCTTTCATAATAATAATAAGAATATAACACTATTAGATGCTCATTCTGACACTTGGCAGTTTTCAGCATTTTTTATCTAGTCATGCTCTTAAAACCAAATTGAGTATTGTACACGTACTTCTAAAAGTAATTACAAATAATTCTGAGCATTGTTTAGGTTACATTAAATCATACTTCCATTCGTTTACTGCAACAGTTAACTTCTCGGTTTTATATTGCATGTTGTGATATTAAAACAATAATAAACTTATGTTTATTACTAATTAAACCAATTATCTAGAACAATAAAATCTAAATATAGTTATATCAACTGAAAAAAATCTTGTTTTTAATCATTCTTCGCCACAAATAAATTAAAATTTAATTTTCACAAATACGCTTATAACAACAACATTATATTGAAGCTTAGTTTTGGGACGTGTGAAGCAAAAGTTTAGTACCGCTACTACATCGGCAAAATTAACATAAGTTATTAGAAGTTGTGCAGCTATAACTAACTATATATTATCAAACTTACAGGGGAACATTGTTCAAATATATAAATCGTGAACAGAGTATCGTCGAAATAGTGATATTAGATGGAGAACATGCTTAGTGAATTGATCAGAAATGTACTTGTACGAGCATACATCGGGCGTTGATTGTTTTATTGTTACAATAAAAACATGATAGAACTTGAGCATTACTCACTCCAACAACCTGTTTAACAAAGAGCGCTAGTATTAAAATGCCTTAACATGTTAACTCAGTCCAACAACCTGTTTAACAAACAGCGCTAGTATTAAAATGCCTTAACATGTTAATTCAGTCTAACAACCTGTTTAACAAACAGCGCTACTATTAAAATGCTTTAACATGTTAACTCAGTCCAACAACCTGTTTAACAAACAGCGCTACTATTAAAATGCTTTAACATGTTAACTCAGTCCAACAACCTACTGTGCGAAAAATGACATTTGTTATTTCTTCTTTTCTCTTGAAAGACTGTTTCTCTGACATTATAAAGAAATTTCTTAATTAACAGTTATTTTTTTTTTTTTTGGAAAATATGTTTTCCGTGTATGTTTGTTTTAGCGTACATCTGCACCATGAGCTATCTGTGCTCTGTCTCATTTTGGAATCAAACACTGAATTCTAGCGTTATCAGCTTTGAAATTTAACTTTGAGCCATCTCTGACAAAGTTTACCTTAATTCAACACGAAATTTTGAGAAAACATGGACAATATGTTTAAGTTTATTTACAAAAGAAAAAAATTAATGATGTATTTAAAGCATTGTTCAAGTACTTTAAGGTTAGGTATTAAACATCACAACACTTTGTAATCCTCTGTCTATAGATGTTACACGGGTTAACTGTACTCCTGTGGGTGGTGAATGTAAAAGATATATGTTTTAACTGTTTTTCTGTGGCTGTTACACGGGTTAACCTTACTCCTGCCTGTGGTGAATGTAAATGATAAATTTTTTAACTGATTTTCTGTGGCTGTTACACGGGTTAACTTTACTCCTGCCTGTGGTGAATGTAAATGATATCTTGTGGATGATGGGAGTAAATGATGCATGACTTACTTTATCTCATGCAGATAATAGATATCACTAATATCTAACTTATCTTTTGTGGGTGATTGGTATAATGATGTATGTTTTAGCCAACATCTTGTGGGTGGTGGCTGTGAATGTTACATATTCTATCTGTACTCCTGTTAATATGTGGTTTAACTAATATCCTGTGGATCTAAATTATACATATTTTATATTGTACTTTGTGGGTTATATATACACACCATATACAGAATGGCTGAAAAAATCTCCTTCATTACTGATTGTACAATGTACAAGGATTTGTCTGTTTGCTATTAAGCACAATACTAAGACAATAGGCTATCTGTGCTTTGTCCAACATGAGTATCGGAACTCGGATTTTAGTGTTATAAGCTTTCGGACTTACCGCTGAGCCACTAGGAGACAAATGTACAAGGAAAAGTATCTTTAGTTCTAATTGCAGTATATAAGAAAACATTGTTTCTATACAGTCACTTCATATGACATTGTCTGTTCTAATCTTAACAAGTGACTTTTTTCATTACGAATTACCATTGAACCTGATTGCGAACTTTCGAACAGATTTTTTTTTACTAGTGGACTATTTCAATGTGCTTCCATGACGATCATTATTGGAAATTACCTTGTAAAAAGTTCAGAGCGGGACCGGTCATCAGAGCACGTAGTTATATATGCAAGAGAATAGAATTTCATGACCATAGTATCGGGAATCGTTGATCATTTGAATATAATCTTACATATGGTTTTCTGAAATGTTTTGCACACGGTACTCATCCTAGATCAAATTATT